TGATTGGTAGATTGATAGAGAGAGAGGGTGTTGATCCGCCGTCAAAAAAAGGCGACTTAATTTGCCTGCTCGGTGATGGTTCTCATTTCACGTACATTCGTCCAAAAAATTAGAGTAAGCTCATCAACCGAACCAGACATGTCAGATTACGCAACCCTAGTCTTGCCTTTCCTTGAAGGGTTAAACGTTCACTTTCTTACGAAATGAAAGTCCCCCTAATAATGTTATCTCAAGAGATTAATCAAAACCGAGTTTCTCTTCATATCTACGAGTCTAGTGTATTAATAGCAAGTAGAATTATAATTTCTGTCTATTAATTTTGTCGGCTTCTATTTTTTATATACTTGCTTATGTATAATAAAAATAATTCGTTATACCCTTTTTATATTATGCTATAACTAGTAAGTATAATAGAAAATTTGTTTTTTAAGCCATTTAATATAACATCGAATTGGTCTGGCCCGGGTTTATTGATTTCTTGTTCGTGTCTACCTTTGATGTCATCCTGTGCTTGGCAGCCGCCATCATTTCCGACCGATGATGTCTTCCCCAAATTTATTAATTCTAGGACCTCATTATTTGGTTCAAAAATGCCTTTGCACTGTTTCTCGCACTTAATTGACCACTCAAGGTTTGATTTAATCCCTTGATTTATTACACCAGTACATTAATTATCTATAATATTTTCTGTATCGTTACATCGTTTTTTCAAACTGCTCTCTAACTTATTTTTTGTCAAACTTTTGATATACTCCACTAAACTATTGTTGGTTTCAATTAGGTCCAGCCTAACAGCTAATGACTGTTTTTTTCATAATCGCATTTTTTGAGCGTTTACCTCCTGCTTCTTGTTGATTTAAGTTTTCAACACGAAGATCCCGAAAAGAAAAAAAGGGAAGACCTAGGCTGCGATAATGCTGAAGGATTTCCTCTTACCTTAACTTTGCCGGATCACAGGGTTGATGGAGACGTTCCTCGTTCTACTGATATACCAGGAGGCAAGGGGATTGAAATTGAAAATATCATGCGTGAATTTATTCATACCCATGGCTTCAAGTGGTATCACATTATCTTGTTCTTATTCTCCGTTGTCAGCTACATCACTGATGTTGCTTCGGATGCCTACCTTACATTTACGTACTTTCGCCAGGTTAGTGCCGTGATCAATGTTAATATATTGTACTGTGGTCCTTTTGAAGTGTTCTTAAAGTTTAAATTGAGTCTTGATGAAGATTATTGTAAAGCATATGACGTCTCGCATTTACTTGGTGTGTTTGTATTTGACTTTATGACGAGTGTAGGGTAGATGTATCATGATATCTTTGTTCCACAATAAGTTTAGACTGTCATAATCGGTGAATAAGGTA